ATCTTGTTTCGTTTCGTATCATGCTGTTACGAAACGTGAAATTATTTTTTCGATTTGTACCGTTATTTACGAAACACAATAAAATTGTTTCGTTTCTTATCGGTTTTTACGGAATATTTCATAAATCCCCGCCCAAACAGATATTTCACGATTCCCATGCCCTCGAGCAATACATAAACTTTTACGTTTAATACTTACTAACTCAAGGTTTGGTAAATCAAAGTTTAACTAAAAAAATGTATTAACAAAGCAATGCAATAGCATCATTTTTATAAGGCTTAGCGCATCTAACGAAGTTAAAAAAAGATATTGTCTTCTGTAGGTAGGTTTTAGTAAAACTGATGAACTTTAACTTTAAGTTCATCAGACATAAATTATGTATTTGTTTATAAACTCGCATGAAGAGTTTAAAATCATTGTTTGAATTAAATACTTCAAATTATATTATATAACATTTTGAATGCGATATTGTTGTGTTAACTTGAAATATTTTGCAAAACTAATTAATTTATTGTTTAAAAACCATAGTAATTCTCAATCATATAATCATACCTATAAAAGCTACAATTTTATGGAAATAATTCAATTAAGTTACTGTGTCAGGTGTTAAGTGTGGGGAATGTAAAAAGTGTTAAATCCAAATCAAGCTAACTGATGGATCCACTAGTGGTATCAGGTACCATCTGAAAACAAAGCATCCCACTGACTACGCTACGATGTTAAGAGCCCAAATTGAACTTGAGCGCCAAAGAGAAGAAGATATAAAAGAAATTACAGAAGCTGCCTTCGAACTGAATGACGCTTACAGTAAATTTCTAATTATTTTTCATAAAATAATGTTTTTCCTTGTATAAAGATAATTTTCATGTTTAACTTTAATTTTTATTTCGTTTTTTTAGATCAACGATCACAAAAAGGCTTATCTAAATGTGTTAATGGGGGAACTATTGGGAAATATTCTTCCCAATCAGGCAGGCAATTGGAGACAGACATGGTAATCATGCCATACATTGCCAGGTCAAGTAGTCCATTCACTCTAGTAGATGAACCATGCTTCAAAGAAATGGTGGAACATTTAAATCCAAAAGTAATTGTGAAACATTCCTCGACTTTTTCAAGGTACAAGCTGCCATTGCTTTATGAAAGCGTTATGGATACTGTGCAAAACCTTATTGAAAAAGAAGTTTCCACTTGTCAACAGGTGGCTATCACCACTGATGGTTGGACCTCTAGGTCACAAGATCCATACATGACTCTTACGCTTCACTATATCAATAGTCAGTTTGAACTGAAAAAATATGTTCTTAACATTGACAATTTCGTGGGAAGACACACTGGTTACCACATTAGCAAAGAAATTTTTCTTATGTTGATATAATTTGTTCTCGTAAATATAAATTTGTAAGTGCAAAAATAATTTAAAAAAGTAAAACTTATCCTTCCGCTAGAATAGCGTTTCTTCTAGGATTTTGTCAATTTTTGAAAGAATTTATAATTTATTGTAAAACCTAAAAGCTGCATAAGTTATCTTATAAATCATTATTTTTTCTTCATTCTTGTTTAAGGCTCTGGAAGAAATGATCCAAAAATATCCGGTATTGGACGCCGTGCCCAAGAAAGTCATTGTCCACGATGCGGCGGCAAACATGAAACATGCTGTGTCAATCATGAACAAAACAAAATATGAATCACTGTTGTGTGCAGACCACCTACTAAACACTAGCCTACTACATGCTACCAATGAAGTGCAAGAAGTCAAAGAATGCATAGATATTGCCACACAACTATCTAGCAAAGTCCACAGATCCACCTTAGCTTGTCAACTTATTGAAAAAGAGTGTATGTTGCTCCGTGTAAACTATGTTAAAATCATTGCTCCGGTAAAAACCAGGTGGATTTCTAACTGTTTTATGCTGGAGTCAATCCTTAAACTTAAAGATGTGTTGATTTCTTTTAGAGAAAAAGATGCACTAAATAACAACCCACTACAGAACGTTATTCCAAGTGACAACCAATTTTCACTGATGGCTTCACTGATGCCAGTCTTAAAAAAAATGAAGATTATGTCAGATTGCATGTCCAAGGACACTGAACCAGTGCTTCATCATATGCTAACTATGCTTTATAAAACTGACAATTTTCTTCATGACCACATTGATATGGAAAACAGAGAAATAGTTAATGCTTTTTGTAAAAAACTAAGTGACCATTTACACCTAGCCACGCGATTCAATGAACATGGAAGATACAACCAACACTATGCCTTGGGAAACCTTCTTCATCCGTACTTTAGAGGTTATAAGTTTTATTTCTTGGTAAAAAAAACATTCTTTAATATTCTTTATTTGTTAAAAGACTAAATTTAACAGTTATTGTTTATGATTTCAGGATATATGCTTAGACATTACGGTATCTTCGAAGAGTTCACCAGAAAAGTCATTAACGATCATCCATCGTCGGACGCTGTTTCGATCAGTGAAAAAAATAATCATAAAGCTACACAAGTTAAAATGCCAGTTGGTGTGGATGAGTGCGACGATTTACAAAATATAGAGATTGAACAGGGTAATAATAACCACACCATTAGTCAAAATGTACCTGAAATTGAAAGGGAGTTTGAATCTTTCCACGCTATGCCTCGTGTTGAAGAAAAGCATAAAGTTGATGTGCTGAAATGGTGGAAGAAACATGCCTCTACTTTGCCATTGTTAGCACAATTGGCAAGAAATTTGCTCTACATTCCAGCTGCATCAAGCTGTAGTGAGAGAGTGTTCAGCGCCAGCGGTGGAATTATAAATGATAAAAGACACAGTCTTTCCACTCAGACAGCAAAGCAATTGACTTTGATTAAAGTCAATTATGATCTTGTCTGTCCTCACATGACCTTGAAAATTATAAGTGACGCTGAAGAAGCCCTGGACCCCCCAGCATTAACTCCAGTTAGAACACCTCCCAAAAATTCTATTCCTAAAGCAGTTTTTTTAAATAACCAAAAAAGGTTATTGTTTAAAACAAAAAACGTTTCAACAACGCCATTATGTTCTTCTTCTTTACCATCAACACCAACATCTTCAGGAATCAAAAAAAAACAATGGAAATTCCAGAAGAATCCGAAACAACAACATCCGAAAAAACATCCGAAAGTGACACTCAACAAGTATGAAAATAAAAATGTTTTACTTTTTATTGTGAAATTTTAAAATCGTGAAATATAATTGTCTAAATAAAAACTGATTTTTCGTAAAAATCGCAAATGTGTGCTTAAATTGGTACAATATAAAAGTAAATTACTTTTTTATTTTATGCTAGCCCTATCTGTCGTAAAAACATTAGTATTTCTCGTAAAACTCAGAAATTTCTTGTTTGTTTGTTTCGTTTTTTACCGTTTTATTTCGGAAAAAGTTTAATCTTATTTCGTTTCGTACCGGTTTTTTCAAAACAAAAAATGTGTCTCGTATTTATCACGAAACCAGAAAATTGTATTTCTTTTCGTACCGTATTTTTCGAAAAAAGATAAAAATTGTTTCGTTTCGTAACGGTTTTATCGAAACGATATTTTTCATCGTTTTGTTTCGTTTCGTCTTGTACCGTTCTGAGACGCAGACCCTTACCGTGGACAACGGCAGCTTGGATTCGTTGCAATATATAAGGTATTGATTATTTAAGACGTTTATTAGGTAACTAGGGTTTGCTTTACCGTTTCTTTCCCAGATGTCATTAATGTATCTCCGTAATCTCGGATCGGTTTCTTTATTTTCGAACTCGTTGCTTTTATCGGGAGATCCAAATCGTAAAGCAGCGCCGTATTAAGGCGGGGGCGTGTGGGGCTGCAGCCCCAGGCCCTTATAAAAAAATAGGCCCTATGGCCCGTGACTTTTTTTTTTTTTTTTCTTTTTTTTAGGAAACCAGATAAATATTCCTATGTTTCTCAGTTTTTTTAAATCAATTTATTGGGAGCTGCGGAGGCGTTGTGAATAAATAAATGAATAGAGATATAGTTTCATTTTTAGTTAAAAATGATTTTTTTTTTTTTTAATGAATTTCTTTATAATGAATTTATAATGAATTCATTAAAAAGACTTCATTTTAAAGAATTTATTATAAGATTTTCTATGAATTCATTATAAAGAATTTATAATGAATTTTTTATAATGAATTTTTTATAATGAAATTTTTTTTATAATGATTTTTTTTATAATGAATTTATAATGAATTTTTTTTTTATAAATGAATTTCATTTTAATTAAATAAATGAATAGAGATTAAGTTTCATTTTTTATTTTATGATCACTTCCGTTACCGCATAAAATTACAGAATTGCTCATTCATTTATAAAAGAAAATAAAAAATGAAAAGGAGCGGCCTGAGCGGTAATTATAATAGTGTCTCAGCAAACTCAGCTATAGCGAGTTCAAACTCATTTATGTTAGCACCAGTTCCAGGTAGTTCAGCGAGTTCAAACTCACTATGTCAGCACCAGTTCCAGGTAATTATAATAGTGTCTCAGCAAACTCAGCTATAGCGAGTTCAAACTCATTTATGTCAGCACCAGTTCCAGGTAGTTCAGCGAGTTCAAACTCACTAACTATGTCAGCACCAGTTCCAGGTGATTCTAATAGTGTCTCAACAGACTCAGCTACAGCAAGTTCAAGCGTCTCAACTATCTCAGCAGTGTTACCCCTGGCTCTGACGACCCACACTGTCAACACCGATGTGGCTAAGTGGATTATAACCGACGAGCTGAGTATTTCAGCAAAAGTGCAGATGGGTTTTTATCATGCCAACATATGGATAGCAATTTTAAATTATCTAATAAAGTACTGCCTGGTGACACTTTTAAGTTTAAACGACAATGTACAAAGTCCCTTTTTTTCCGGGAAAGAGTGAATGGTTAGAAAATTAAGAGAGACTGGATTTGCTATTCCCCATCAACTGGTAAGGTTTTCTGCGCCCATTGTAAATTATTTAATTCAAAATGTGGAATTGGAGCATCTGCTTTGATGTCATCAGGATATGATGATTGGAAACACGCTGCAAGAGACTTAGCTCGCCATGAAACAAGTGAAAACCACATTCAATCAATTGAAACCCTTTTAACACGTAGGAAAGCTGGAGAGCACATTAGTAAGAGGCTCACAGAGCAATTCGAATCAGAGAAAAAGTACTGGAATGACATACTGTTGGGTATTCTTACCGTTATCAAAATGTTAGCATCGCGTGGGTTGACATTCCGTGGCAGTAACGAAATTGTGGGTTCTGTCCACAATGGCAATTATTTAGGTTGCTTAGAGCTAGTGGCTGAGTTTGACCCATTGCTTGCAGAACATATTCAGAAAAGAGCGAACAAAGGCCAAGGTCATGTGTCATATCTGTCATCAACTATATGTGATGAATTTATTCATGTGTTAAGTCGTGACGTTTTGGACCACATTTTAACTGAAATTAAAGAAGCAAAATACTTTGCAGTTAGTGTTGACTCAACACCAGATATTTCACATGTAGATCAGCTTACCATTATATTCCGTTACATGACTTCTAAAGGACCAGTTGAACGTTTTGTGACATTTATCCCTATAGAAGAGCACACTGGGGAAGAATTAGCAACAAAGTTACTTGATTTTATGGAAAATACTGCAGTTAGTGTTGACTCAACACCAGGTATTTCACATGTAGATCAGCTTACCATTATATTTCGTTACATGACTTCTAAAGGACCAGTTGAACGTTTTGTGACATTTATCCCTATAGAAGAGCACACTGGGGAAGGATTAGCAACAAAGTTACTTGATTTTATGGAAAATACTGGTTAATTTATTTTATGAAAGTTACTTGATTTTATAGAAAATACCTTATGGAAAATTCATTTCAATTAAAAACTACCGAGGTCAATCCTACGATAATGCTGCCAACATGAGTGGCCGTTTCAATGGCATGCAAGCAAAAATTAAAGAACATAATAACTTAGCTGAATACATACCATGTTGTGCTCATTCGCTTAACCTTGTTGGTCAATGTGCTGTAGGACGTTGTTCTGAGGCTGTAACGTTTTTTGACTTTGTAAATAAGCTGTTTGTATTTTTTTCTGCCTCCACCTCTCGTTGGAATCGTTTGATGGCAGTTTTAAAGCCACTTAATATGCCTACCTTAAAAAGGTTATCTGATACCAGGTGGTCAGCCCATTATGATGCTGTACACTCCCTCCAGGTTGGCTATACGCAAGTGAAGTCTACACTGGATATCATGTGTCAAGATATGTCTCAAAAGCCAAAAACACGACTTGAAGCCGCAGGATTGAAAGATATAATGAGTCATCATGAAATAGGTATCCTAGTTCAAACACCGCTACGGAACTGCTTCGTTCTTTGGGTGATTTTGTTCATTCTCTTCGGAGCCAGTTCACAGCATTTGAAAAGGACGGAAAGGATCTGGGTACCGATTCGTACAAAGGTGAATCAAGGCGAAAGCGCAAGAGGAACTAGAGATGGGATTATGGTGACTCAGAAGATCTAGAGTTATCCCCTTCTGATAAGTTTAAAGTTCGGTGTTTTTTGCCTATAGCTGATCAATTGTTAGTTGCTCTTAAACAGAGGGCTAATGCATATGATACAGTCAGCAAAAGGTTTGGTTTTCTTAAAAATCTACAATCTTTGTCCAATGATGGTATGAGAGATCATGTTTCATTTGTATGTGAAACATATTTTGAAGATGTTGATCCTAACTGTCATGGTGAAATTTATTCACTTCACTTCTCTGTTTGCCAAATTGTCACCGCCCAATGAAACTGATTGTGTTGAACTGCAAATGTACACCTTTCTAGTTAAGAATAGTTTGACCGATACCTTTGTGAATGTCTACACTGTGTTGAGAATTTATTTGTCTCTTATGGTCACAAACTGTACTGGAGAAAAATCTTTTTCAGTCCTTAAAAGAGTTAAGAATGAACTTAGATCAACAATGGGACAGCCTCGCTTAAATGATTTGGCTTTATTATGCATTGAAAGTGACATAGTTATGTCAAGAGATCTCACAGTAGTGATCAAGAAGTTTGCTTCAAAAAAAGGCCAGAAAAGTCAATAGATTAACTAAATAGTACATGAATTATGCTCCAATTTATATTTATTGTTTTTTTTTATACTTTCAAAAGAAAAATATATGAAGATTCTAGCTTCAGCTAAATATTTGACACCATCAACAATACTAAAAATGATATATGTTTGCTTATATTGCTAAATGCTATCCTATTCCAATATAACATATTGTTATTGGTGCTTTTGTAATGTTAGACTGTACTAAGGGCATACATGTACAGTACATGTATGCCCTTAGTACAGTCTAACATTACATGGTGACAATTTGGCAAAGGTCAAACAGAGAAGTGAAGTACATGATGTACTTCACTTCTCTGTTTGACCTTTACCAAATTGCCACCGCCCAATGATCTATATCCTGGAAAACATATGAAAAAATATTTACATGATAAAACAACAATACAATACCTTAAGAATTTTGATGAAATATTGTTTATTTTTATTTTTTTAATTTTTTTATTTAAATACCAATATTATTCGTATTTTCTTCCTTTATTGGAGGTAAACACATTATCAATTTTATACACGTACTCCACTGTCTCAATAGTAAATATACCTACAGCTCAGCAGTTGCTTTCTTAAGTCATGATTCAAGACCTTTTGTCAGTTTACATATATATGGGTGTCTGGGCCAAAGGGGTTTAGCTGTACCTAACCAGTTGGTAAAAAATTATGAAAAAACTGCTCTAAAACATACCTAGATTGTGTCTTTTTATTAGCAAGACTTAAAAAAAATTTTTAGGGGGCAGCTTCCCCCCTGACCCTCCTACTTGAGGGGTCTAGGAGCCCCCCAAACTTCCCAGCTGGGGGCCTCCGGCCCACTGACCCCCGGGTTTAGCCTCGCTAACGCTCGGCATTTTTACCTTACCGCCACATTAGGCCCTCCTATACTTACAGCCCCAGGCCTAAAAATTTCCTAATCCGGCCCTATCGTAAAGGCATTAGTTGACCAGGCATTCGTCCACGATCTTGGATGAAAAGTACATTTGCGATATTTGTTGTGTTGTTAGTTAAATTACTTTCTAAGTTGCGATGTAGTTTTGGGTAGGTATTGGTTTTCTTTTTATCGGTAACTATTATTGAGACTGTTTCTTTAGCTAGAGAGATTTTCCGCTTGATGTTTTTAATTTCAGCATTAGAGTCGTAAGGAATGGTGCGAACATCGGCCATTATGTCATCAACCACAATTAACGGATGAGTTTCAGCTTGATCACTTTCGGTAGGGAAAACCCCTATTATTCCGGGGAGGGCCGAGGTATCGAGAGACGGGGGTGCTTTCGCATCAACACCAGCTGATGCGGATTCATGCCCCGAAGCCACAATCTCGATATCATTCCTACGTTCCTCCGGATCGCCAGTCAAAACCGCACCAAAGATACTTGATCTTTGCTATTAGGCCGAAAAGCGATAACTGAACACTGCAGACACAGTCGGACAAACGCCGTCTTCAACAATGTACTTGTGGTTTGTATTAGTACGTCAAATCATTTTCGTCGTCGTCATTATTAGCAGCAGCCGAGATCATTGGCGATGTTAGACACTCTAAAAGTCAAAATATTCATTTATTTTTATTCTGGACCGCTCTCAGCAGTAGTGCAAAGCCTAGGCTACCCGTGGTCAGGCAAGGTAAACCTATGATCCCGTGACCTAATGCCAAAAATCAGATTAATATATGAACCGGAATGTGCCGGCGTACCAGATATTAAACTGATAAGAACAGATACTTTTTTTTTTTTTTTTTACTTAACAAACTAGTCCAAGGCCCTAAAAGGAAGATTTTATTTTATATTTTTTATTTTTGTTTTATTGTTTTATATTTTTATTTTGTTTTGCATATATACATTTTTATTTGATTTTTGTTATTTATAGTTTTATGTTATGTTAACCTGTTTTAATGAAGTAACTCTTGGATGAGACTTTTTAACGTTGGAAAAAATTTTTTTAATTGTAATATATATTTTTTGATATAGATAAGAATAGTTTAAGTTATAGGTAAGAACAGATACTTGAATTTAGTACCAGTCATTTCGGTGGTTGATGTTGCTGTTTTGTTTATATCGCTCTAATTTCGTTGCCTCTCTTTCCTCTCTTGCTCTTTGACGTTCCTCATATTCGTATTGCCTCTTTTCTTGCTTCTCCTTTGAGTAATCAGCTCGTTTGTATCTCACAAATCTTTTTAACACATCTTGGGTACAATCATGTTTGTTGAATCCTTTAAAGAAATCATAGTTGTAGTTAACTATTTCAACGAAACTCATTGTTTCGAATTCTTTTGGGAGCTCGACTCCGCTTACATCAATATATGGTTCTTTCTTAGGGCGATTTGTTTCAGTATTGTCAGTTACATTTTTTAGAAGTTAAGGATTTTTTAATACATTTTGCGGTTGTTTAGATTCGTTTGGGTTTATTATATGATTTTTCGTCTTTTTTAATAGTTTTAGTTTTCTATTCTTGAGTTGTTATAGATTCTTGTTATAGATGTTCTATGTTTTTGGTTGTGAGATTTTGGTTTTCATTATTAAATGCATCGAATTTCATTTCGTTATCTGATGTAGATGATTTGGGTTCAGTTATAGGATGGTTTAGTGTTATTTTGATTTTTATATTCATAAGATTTGACTGTTAAGTTTATTGGTTGAGTTTCATTTAGATCTTTATCTTTTGTTTCAGGTTGTCCGGTATGAACGAATCGGACATAGTATCCTCCGATTTTTAGAGTTTTTTGAATAGGTTGTATTAGGTTATCTATTAACGTTAACAGGATACCTGAGTAGTATAAAGTTTGTGTTTTAGGGGTCTTTTTATAGACTGGTCTGGTTCGTACATGCTTGCCGTACCCAAGTTCTTCAAGAGCATTCCCAACTAAGATATTTTTTTTCTCTAGAAGTAGCCCGAGTACGGAAACTGCAACGCGTGTAGATACGTTTCTAGAAGGAGTTGAATTATGAAAGTAAAAGGTTTTGTTATTTATATTTAGTTCTTTTTAAATTAAATGAAGTTTGGAGTTTTTGATTTTCATTACGATTTCAATCATAGATCCATTTCGTATTATTAGGAGGCCGTCTAGATCTTTGTCGAGGCCAGTATCTTCAAGAGTTGACAAAACGTCAACGTCTTTAATATTATTGTTAATATTACTCAATAGAGTGTTTATTCAAAGAGGAGTATTCATTTAAAGTATTAGTGTTAGTATTTATAGCTTGCGCATAGGTTTTGAGCGGTGTTACAATTTCTGCTTTGTTTATAGTATCCATTTAATATACTGGTTTTGAAATAAACCTTATAGAATAGTAAAATACACTACGTGTATTATATAACTCTCAGTCGCTCGGTTAAACCCTCATAAAACTCACTATAAACACTCAAATTCCGCCTAAAACCTCTACAAACTAAAAGTGCCGTATTGGCAACCCGTTGTTGGAGCAATGTAAAATCTCTCTATACACTTAAGAGGCACATAGTCCTCATTGAGAGTGAATTATTACTCGATTAGACACCTAATGACTAAGAATCAAAAACAGATACTACACTTGATCTTAGCCATAAGGCCGAGAAGCGATCAGAACAGATATATATATATATATATATATATATATATATATATATATATATATATATATATATTCATATTGCTTATTTATATCCATAGGTGTAACCTTGTGATTTATTAGCATTTTGACGAGCCAGCGACCTAATAGAGTGATTTGTGATTATTGAGAGTT